GCGCTTCGCGCTTCGCGGAGCGCGAAGCGCGAAGTTGGGAGCCCTAGTATAGAGCAAGTGTGGTACTTGCGGACGTTGTGCATACAACACGCGCCTCATCCAGCGGGGCAAGAGGTGTCGCTGCGGCAGACAGGTGAAGCTGCTCAAGCCAAAGAGGGCCGCCGACTCGGACACCACCCAGCTTAACGAGCTGAAGGATGTCAGCGGGAGGCCGAATAACAAGGGCGTGGCCGTCGGAGGCCGCGCCACTCCAGGTTCAGACTGCCTCGCGCTGATGCAGCGGACGACGGAGGCCACGCAGGATCCATGATCCGCTGCTCAGGAAGTTGCTTGGCGATGAATTCGGCTAGCTCAAGTTGAAGGTGAAGCCGCAGCAGCACCAGGAGGAGGCGCTGCGGCGCGTTTCAGGAGCCTGGCAAGACGCCGTGCTCCGCCATGACCAGGCTGTGGCCACAGTGTTCAAGGCGCTGGACAACCTCGCCACAGCGCAGGTGCTTGAGCGCGATGCGGCCCTGGTGCCCGCGAAGGCAGAGGCGGCCAGGCGTCTGACAGCCAAGTGCATGGCAGCGGTGATGGGCTTCAGCGGGCCCGAGAAGCACAAGGAGGTCGTGAAGGAGGTCCTCGTCAAAACGAAGATAGACGGCGACTTCTACAAGTCGGTGGATGAGCTGGACATCGAAGAAGCAGATCGCCAGAATCTGAAGAATCTCGAGGCCCTCGAGCACGAGCCTCGAGGCGCCCAGGCGCTCCTGCAGGTCAAAGCACCCCGAGGCCCAGGACTGGGGAAGCAGAGGGTGGCAGACACCCGGGGCCGAAGATCGACGAGAGGCTCGCCAGGAAGCGGCGCGCCGACGGCGACGGCGCTTCCCCGCACGGCCAGTGGAGGGAGAGGGCCAGCGGCGACCGCGCCCGAGGCAGCTGCCACGGGGGCCGCCGGCGCAGCGGCCGCCGACGAGGAGGAGGAGGAGGAGGAGGAGGAGGAGGAGGAGGAGAAAAAGGAGGAGGAGGAGCGCGCGAGGGAGGCGGCCGAGCGCATCGGCGCAGCCAAATCGGCGGCGGCGCACGCGGCCAAGCGGGCGCAGGTGGCTCAGGCGCAGGCGGCGGCCGCCGCGGCGGCGGCGAGTCCGAGCCAGAAATGATTGCAGGAGCCCCCTCGTCGCCCACGCCGAGTCCGTCGACTGGCGCGCGATGAGCAAGGGCGGCAGGGAGGCGCGTTCACGAGGGGGGCGCCTTGAGTGAGGATAATTCAGACAGGGCCTTCTTCCTCGCAAGCGTCACGTGCATTGGCAATTAGGCTTGGCATTTCTCGCCCGTCCAGCCCTGCCACTGCGCGGGCTCCAACCGCGCGGGCGCCGGCGGCCCCGCCGAGTGGGGCGGCAAGGCCAGGGAGGCGAAGGCGAGGCTGCTCGCCAAACCCGCCAGGCCCTCGGGGCGCGGCGCGGCCTCGTCAAGCCATGCTCGCAGGGCCAGCGAGGCGGGCGAGTGGCTGCTGGCCCAGGGCCACTGCGGCGTTAGAAGCTTGGCAGAGTCGCGGCGTGTTCTAAAATCAGAAGGCCATGGCGCACTCGACGGGCTGCAAGCTTCAGTAATTGATGCGCGCGGATTCTCGTTCGTCGCCATTCGCTTTTATTTTTTCGGCGAAGGCTGGTCAGAGCTCGGAGCTTGCCTGATCAGTCTCCAGTTGCCGTCGGTAGTTTTCGCTGACTGTTACATGTCGGCTTCTAGTTTGGAGTCCCACCGTTTCATGTCCACGGCCCAGGTCTCGATGGTTTCGAACCTCTCGGCCACTTGCTGCAGGAGCCCAAGGGTCCGAAGGTGGACTATGCCCTGCCAAGCTCGAGCTTCGATCCGTGCTTCCTGTCCATGGAGGCGGCCATGGACGCGCCATGGAAGACGCGTTGCGGGCTGTTGGTGCTTTGCAGAGGCGCCGCCGCGCATCTTTCCGCGCGTTTGCTGGACTTGCCAGCTACGTTGTCGCGAACTCATCGCACCCCCCCTCCTGCCCAGGCCCCCCAAGGGCGCAGGAGGTTGCTTTGGCCAGAGGGGTCGAGGAGGCGGCTTCCATTTGGGGGCGTTCATGGCGAGCCAGGGTCCAGCGCTCAGGGCGTACTGCCCGCTTCGCGTCGTCATTCAATATGCACGTCGAATGTAAACTCTGGAAGCTAATCTCGATATAGGTCTAGGAGCCCGGGGTGAAAAAGGCTTCAACGGCGCGGAGTGACGGCGGGGGCGCCCCTGCAGCCCAGTTCCCCAGGGTCGACGCGGGCGCAGGGCGGCGCGCCAGAGCTCCCCGGCGCATGCGAGTGAGCCAGGCGATCGCCGCGCACGGTCGCACCGCTCGCATCGCCGCGGCCAGTCGCCGCGACAGACCGACGGCGAAGCTGGAGGTGGCGGGCGCGCAGCCCACGGGCCACTAACCTGACGCCGAGTCCACGGCGCCCACGGCGCGGCCATGCTGAATGCGAGGAGACGTCTGGGCCACGTGGCCAGCACTTCTCGTCGAGGGCGCCGTCTCGCGCGACAGGCCTGGGCCCGCGGTGCGCCGGCCAGGGCCTGGGGCGCCGCCCCCCGCGCGAGAGCTGGAAGCTGCGGCCGCGAACCTGGTGCGAAGCCCCAGGGCCGAGGGCGGGCGTCGAGCCGTCGCGGCCCGCCGTCCGCAGCGACGCAAGTCAGGGGCATGGGGGCTCTCTTTGTGCAGGCGCGACGCGAGCGGGCCGATCATGCGCACTACGGACGGGGCCTTGTCTCTGCCGCGGAGCGGGGGGCGTTGCCGGCGGGCGCGGATGGCCGAGAGGCTTTTACCTTCGAGGGGGCTGTTGGCACGGACGCAGATTTGAGTGATTTGGTTTGTGAGTTCGAGGCTGCGGCGAAGAGGGGGCTGCGGCAAGCTGCCGCGCCCCATTTTTGCGGTGGTGGCCTCGTGCAGGGGGCCCGCAATTTTGTCTTGCAAGAGGTAAGTTCAGTTTCTGGATCGCGATCGCAAGGGGCATCAGCTCGCAGAGGTCATTCTTTGCGTCGCTGCAGGAGGCACCAGGCCACTGCAGAATATTGCTGACGAGGTAGGAGGTCTCGACAGCACTCTGTGCCCGCGCTGCAAGCAGGGGCCCGAGATCCAGTTTCACCGGTGATGGGCCTGTCCGAAGAATACAGCCCCCCCCTCCCCCCGCCTGCTCAGCATCGGAGTCGTTGGTACGTCGGTATTGCAGGCCAACGGCCAACGCGAATCCGAACCTTGTTTTCGGTTGCGCGGCATTTTGCCAGCGGAGTGGGCGCCCCCTCCCGCCCCGCCCCCCAGTCGGCGAGCCAGAGTAGCTAGCGCGTGGGGTGGAAGGGCCGCTGCGCGTATGCTCTCTGGGCACGGGCTCAGAGGAACACCCGTTTTTTATATTTATTTATATGCGTATCATTATTGTTCGTATTATAGTATTATTATAAAGAATCTAATCTTCGTGGGTGCCAGCGAAGCTCCCGACTCTACAAACCTCGTCCAAAATAAACAGAAGACTTCTGAATTCGGTGATTGTGGGGTGGGTCAGCGCTACTTCAATGCTGACGGACGTCTGTTGACTTGGACGCGGCGTTGTCCAAAAACCGACCCCGCCCTCTCGGCATTGAAGAACGCGCTTTCTGACGAGTGCCCGAAAGCATCGTGTCCCAGGATTTCAACTTCCTTTTCTGGAAGTGTTTGACGAAGCTTGTAGGGGCGACGGCCTGCGTCGGGTCGGCCTCGGAAAAGGCGGTATATCAAATTCCATTCCGCGCTCGATCGACGCTTCGATCCGAGGTCCGTTCGCAGGACGCCGGCAGACTGTGCCTATGGGGCGAGTAGTGAGAACTAGTGTTGGCACCTTGATGTATGTTACAGTTAACGAAGCGGCGATGAGAGCCCGGCACCAGCAGGGGCACGCCCACCCAGGGGGAGATGGCTCGGACCCGTGGGGCCAGCTCGGCAAACTTCGTCAGCAGCGAGATTTTTCGAGTGCGTCACTGCGCTGCAGGTTTCATCGCACCAGCCTGCTTTTGCCATGGCTCGCTCGGGGAATCTCCAGTGGATGGCGCCGGGGGACACTTTGGCGGACGAGCTCGCGGGCCAAGCTGCACTCGAGGCTCGTTTACCTTTTTTTTTTCAGGCGCAACGTTTCACGGGCTGAGAAGGCGGCCAGTCTTGTCCGTCGCCGCTTGTTCAGGTCTCTTTGAGGCCATCCAGGAGGACTCACGTTTCGGTTCGCTCCTGGTGGAAAACAGGTCCCGCTCCCCCCCTCTGCTGCTGCTGTTGCTCTTGCCACGTCCTCCCACTCGCTGTCCGAGGATGGAACAGTTGCAGCAGTTGCCGGAGGTGTCGTGGATGTGCGTCTCACGCGTCATTGACGCAGCGAAGAGACAGTCCGTAATTTCAGTTATTTGAGCAGGGCCTATATTTCCCCGGGTCGCCGAAGGGTCAGCATGTGCACATTGGAGGAGCTTGGACGCATCCGACCCACGCCCCCTTGTTTAGTCATAGGCTTAATTTCTCGTGTTGTAGGTCGTGCGATTTTTATGGCAGCCAACGTCTGCTAGGTTTACTTACCGAGTGTCCAGCGTATCCCAGCCTTTTCCAGATAAATGTGTTCAGACCACGCTGGCTCGGATGATTCAATTTACGAGAACATGCCATGGTAAACTCCCGAAGTACAAGTAGCCCAGGTCAACCTGAGCCATGGCTCGGGTGGTGGTCGGGTCACGCCACCTCGCTTAGCGATCGGTCCTGTCCTGTCCTATCCGGTCGGACCCAAGCGTAACCTATCCTATCATATCCTATCCTATCCTGTCCTATCCGATCTTGTCTTTTACTATCATGTCATGGTATATGTCAAATTCAATACAATCCAATCCGACACACACTATATATATGTATATATATATATATCCTAATCCTCCTCTTGTTCCTGCTCCTTTTGCTCCTCCTCCTCCTCCTCCTCCTCCTCCTCCTCCTGCTCCTCCTCCTCCTCGCTGCCCCCCGCAGCCCTTTTGGCCGAACCGCTTCTGCCACCGCCGCACTGTGGCGGTCTGCCCCGCTCCAGCGCCGCGCCGTCGGCAGCCCCCTCCCCAGATGGGCCGCGCGAGCCGGACGGGGGCCCCCAGGCCTGCCCCTGCGGGCGGCCGCAGCCTGCCGCCTGCTGCGCAGGCGCCCAGCACGATGGCCCCCACTCTGCTGCAGCGCAGGTGCGCGCCAGGCGGGCGCGGAGAGGCGAGCGGGTTCCGGCCCGACAAGGCGCTGGCCGCGCGCCCGCCGCGAGGCTGCACAGATGCCGCGGCTGCGGGCGGCAAGGGCGCCATTTCCCTGCTCCAGGAGTTCGTCCAGTGCACGCAGGCCTGCAGTGCCCCGCAGGATCGCCCAGTGCTGCAGTGGAGCTTCGATCGGCGCGCCACCGCCGGGGCATCCGAGTTCTGCGCGACGGCGGCCCTCGTGCTCGACGGGGTCCCACACCACGTGGTGGGCGCGTGGCATGCGTCGAAGAAGGCCGCGCAGCGCGACGCGGCGGACCGCGCACTCGGCTACTTTGTGCGCTCCTGGGGCGAGGCGCTGCTGTGGCCAGCGCCCGACGCGGGCGGGCCCCCTGTCGCGCTGGCGACGCGGGCCAGCGGCGGCCTCACGGCTGCCGGCGGAGAGCGACGGGTGTTGGAGCTCAGAGGAGGAAGATGTACCGACACCGCCACCCTTCCCTTCGAGAGTGTTTTTTATTTCGCCCTCTGGGCCACAACGCGTGATATGCCTCCCCTCTCCCCCCAGTGCATCTCCGGCACTGCCGCAGTGGTTTGGCACCACAGTCCGTGGTGCCAGGCCCACACGGTGGGGGGAGCGGGGCGTTATGTCCCCCTCCCGCCCCCGCTTTTCCCGCACAACGCATGACGCCCGTTATCGCCGCGCATGAGAATACTCTTCTCTTTTCCGATTTTTCGGGCCTCGTCGCCGCGGCTGGATCCGCCGCGGCGTTCTGGCCAGGGCGCACCCAGGGAGAGGTCCGGGGAGCGTCGGCATCGGCGGCGCCTTCTGACCTTCTGCTTTCCCCAGGAGCAGTTCTGCTCCTCCGAGCGCGCGTGCGGCGGCAAGCCGCCCGGCTGGAGCTGCAGGCCTCCCCCGAAGTTCGGACGCCGACCCCGCCGCCGCAAGGGGCAGGTGTGGCGTGGAGGCCCCCCCCCCCCTGGTGGCACGCGAGAGGCGGTCCGCCGATCGTCTTCGGGGAGGCCGTTGGCGCTCCGTGGTCGAGACGTCGCGACTGGAGCTCTCGACGCCGTCGCTCCGCCCTTGGTGCGTAGGGCTTCGGGTGGCACGCAGGCGGCCGCCCCAGGCAGTCCGGGCCGGCCTCGGCGGGCCCCCCCGAGGAGTTCCAGCTGGCCCCCGCAGGCCCCCCGAGTGCTCCGGGGCGGCCTCAGCGCCCCGACCGCGGAGCGTCCCAGGGGCCCCGAGGCGGCGCCGGGCTGTCGAGGCGGCCCTGGGCTTCTCGGGGGGCCTGTCGAGGCCGGCTGGGGCTGCCTTGCCTGGGGGGGGGGGCCTCACTGCTTTCGCCTCGCGCTTTTCAAGCCGCGCCGAGCCGCGACGGCCCCGGGGCCCGAAACGGGGCCAAGGTTTCGGCTGCCACTTTTTCATGGCCCCTGTGATCTGGGAGGGGAGACGGGAAGGTGAAGAGGGTGTCCAAGGATTCCTGTCTGGGGCAGCAGGTGGGACGGCGGCCAGTGCATCGCCACCGCTGAGCTGGAGATCCTCGGCGTGAGGCACAGTTTGGCTGGCGTGCCTCGCGGCAACGAGCAGGAGGCTATCGCAGCGGCGTCCCTCCGCATCCTGTGGTATCTCCAGTGCCCTGGCTACGAGAACGCCTTCGACTCAGAAGCGAAGCGGAGGAGAGGATGACTAGGAGGACCAGCGTAATTCTGAGATGCATCAGCGATTCTGCAATGAACCCTCCCGTCCCAAGTCTCCTCCTCATAAGTCCCTGCACTTATTGCTTTCCACTGCGGAAATCGTCCCCTCTTGACATCCGATGATCGCCCCGTGTGCCAGGCACTCAGGCGAGACCCTGTTTTTTTGAAGAACCCTCATTCTTCCAGTCATACGACATTCAAATCAGTATGACCCGATATTTTCTTGCGGAGGTGTCCAGTGGTAGCTTCTTTTTGAACTTCTTGTTATGATACTCCAACTTGCAAGAGCCATGGTGGAAACGTCTACTTTCTGAATGGGCTGCGCTCCATCCGTGTATCTGCTTCAGAATTTTGAAGTCTGGGTCATACAGTTACAAGAAGTCGCAGGCGGAAGCCCCCTTGAAATCGAGCCGCCCTCCATAGCCTAGTTTGAATACGATATGTGTTCCGTCCTTGTAATTGTTGTTGTGTGATGCCAGTGCGCGCGGCGCCGAGGCGATAGTCACACTGGAAGACTACCCGCCCTCCATCCTTGTAGCTGTCGGACATAGTGTAGACGAGTGTGCGCGGCACCAAAGCGAGAGCTGCACTCTGGAAGCCGCTTGTGCTCCATCCGTGCAGTTGTTGGAAGTTCTAAGCTTCGAGCTCAGAAGCTGCGAAGAAGATTCAGGGGAACCGCCTTGCCCGCCCTACCGACACGTCTGGTGGTGCGACAGAGATGAGGAGGAGTTATGAGTAAAAGGGATGGTGCAAAATGAGCCTAAGATGCATCAGCGATGCTGCACTACACGCTCACGTTCTAAGTCTCTTCCCCTTGATTTAGTCATTACAAGCCTTCTCGCTGCAAGAAGCGCCATCTTCACAGGTCAGCCTCCCCCCCTGGGCCTGCCTTTCAGGCGAGGGTCTTGTTTTGAACAGGAACTGCCTCACATCCTTCTAGCGACGAATAATTCAAAACAAGAAAATCGACTGCGACGAGGTGTGAGCATACAGATCAATGAGGTGTCCAGGGGGACTTTCGCTTTGAAGAGGGCTGCCTTCCATCCGTGCAGTTGCTGCACAAGCGTGCACTGTTTGGCATGAACGTTCGGGGAGAGGTTTCAAGCGAGGGCCCCATGTTGGAAAGAAAATGCCCTCAATCCGTCCAGCTGATATGGTCAAGGTGTTGGTTTGTAGATACAAAAATGGTCGAGCAAGAGCAATGTTTCAAACGAGCCGTCATCCATCCTTATGATTCTTGGAATTGTTTAAGATGGAGTTGCAAGGTGCGAAGGCGGGACATTTAGTTAAGAAGGTACCACCCTCCATCCTTGAAGTGGTTGCCAGCACTTCCGACGACTTTCCGCGGCCCTCAGGCCAGGACCGCATTTTGAAAAGGAGCCGCCCTCCACCATTCCTTAAGCAGCTGCAGACTTTTAAAACGAATGTGCGAGGCGCGAATGCGAGAGCCGCGTTTTGAAAACGACCCCTTCACATTTGCAACTGTTGCACTCTTTGATACGATCGTGCGCGGCGTTCAGGCCACAACCCCATTCGGACCCCGCCATCCATCCTTTAAGCTGTCGCAGCCTTTCAAGACGAATGTGCGCGGCGCTAATGCACGAGCCGCATGTTGGACCCTCTTCATCCTTGGTGCTGTTGCGAACTTTTACGACGAATGTGCGTGGCGGTAGGGCGGGAGCCCCATCATGAAGAACCCCTCCTCCATCTTTGAAGCTGCTATGATTTTTTAAGACGACTGTGCGCGGCGGTAAGGCGAGAGCCCCATGTGGGAAACCATCCCCCATCCATCCGTGTGATTGTTGCAAATGTCAACTTCATGGTTTGAAATGGTGAGGAAGGCTCAAGCGAACCGCCTGGCCCGCCATGCCGACACGACGGGGGATATGACACGGGGGAGGTATTCCCCTAAACAGTGTTTGCTTTTGGGGTTCCTATTTGGTTTTAAGACGGGACTGGGCTGGTGTGTCGGTCTGGCCAGCATGCAGCCGCCCGTCTTCGCCGCCAGTCTGGGCCTGTGTGTCGGTCCTGCCGGCATGTAGCCGCCCATCGCCGCCCGTCGCGGCCGCGGGTCGCCGTCGCATGTTGGTGGCATGTTTGCTTGCGCGAACCTCGTAAAGTTCAGTTTGCCACGTATGTTGCACCACGTAGATGGCACAATCTAGCTTACACCACGTTGATTGGACCATATAGGTGTCACCACATCGATTGCACCACATACATTGTTTCACATAGTGTGCACCACGTAGCTTTGCTCCGCATATATTGCACCACGCAGGTGGCGCAACATAGATCCCACCACATATATTGCACCACGCAGCTTGTACCAGCTAGATTGCACCACGTATGTTGCACCACATAAATTGCACAACGCAGCTTGCACCTCGTAGATTCTCCTTTCTAAAAGAGGAGATAGGTTCTACCACCCTACCCCCTGGGAGTTATCGATTCCCCGGGAACCGATGCAAAACACATATGATTCTGACCCAAAGTCCATCCTCCTGTGAACTCATACTATCCCAGCCAGGCCGTTATTGGTACCCCCGCCATCCTGTGCAAAAAACGCTATGCGCGCACACTCGTTTATCAAGTTCATAAGTTTTCAATATTCCCTGGCAAAAACGGGACGAAGTGCGCACGCGCGCGTCGTCGGGCGCGCATGCCGAAATTCTGCAACAACTTTCGGTTTCGGAACGATTTCAAAATCGAGTGTCCAAACAACACTTAAAACACATTCTATGTCGCAACACCACGGCATTTCAGCTAAAGCGTGCGGGCGCGCTCTTGCGAATTCTTATGCAAACCATAAGTTTTAAAACTTTCAAACAATGCTACCCAGCGGGCTTCGCGCGCGCATGTTGAAATCGTTTGAACGCCCTTGCGCGCGTGCTGGGGTGGCACGACCCGTGTCAAATAATATCATGCGAGCCAGTCGCGCGTCTGCCGCGCGCGCATGTCGAATTCTATCCAAAAACATTCATCACCGACGCGAAGACGCCGTCATCGTCGTCGGCGTGATCAGCATCGGCGCCGTCACTGGCTGCCCCGTCGTCGCTGCCAGCATCGTCACCAGCATCGCTACTTTCATCATCGTGTCTACAGTTGTCGACGTTGCCATGATACCGCGCCCGCCCAAGTCGCCGACTCGCGCTGAAGTGTCCGCTGGGATGTGCCGAGCGGTCAGCGCCACCGCGTTCGCGTTGGTCGCGCCAAACTAGCTGGCCGCTGCGCGCGCGAGCATGCGCGGGCTAGCGCGGCCGCAGAGATGCACCAGCCAACCCCCAGCACTCATCGCAATCGCTCCCGCATGGTTTTGCAAACCAATTTGCAGCTTGGTGGGTGGGATGACTGCGCGAGCAGTAGAATTGGCAATTTCGAGTTCTGCAAGTGAATTGCACCACGTAGGTTGCACCACGCATAGTGGGGCATTCATTGCAACCTCTCATTCGTACCACATGTATTGCACAACAAATATGGAACCACGTCGATTGCAATACATCACATATAGTGAACCGCGCTGCTTGCATTACATCGTTCACGCCACGTTTATTGCACCACATGGGTTGCAATACGTGGCTGACGCCACATAGATGGCACCACGTAGTTTGCACCAAATAGTTTGCATCACGCTGAGTGCTCCACAGATAAGGAACCACAGCGACTGCGCCACGCTGTTCGCACCACATAGATTGCACGACGCAGTTTACACCACATGTAGCGCACCATGTGGATAGCACCGCATCTATTGCATTACGTTTATTGGTCAGCATATATTGTATCGCCTGGTTTACCTCACATATGTTGCACCACGTAGGTTGCACCACGTAATCTGCTAGAACGCATTGTTTGGGGTCCACGATCGCTAACATGTATCAAAAAAGGTGCAGGAGGACGAGGAGGACGAAACCGTGTTCGTTTTCCTTCGCTTCCTCAGCCCCCCCCGTCGTTCCTTCCTCCTAACGCGATCCCTTTTTCTTTCCAACTCAGAGCAGCTTTCCCCCCCGTCCGCCCGGAGCTGACTAGGTGGAGGCGCCGGGGCGGCGCCAGGAGACGCGAGAGCCCCCACCCGCAAGGCCATCAAGAGGAGGAAGCCGTGATCCGTCGATCAGCACTCGGTCGGGCCGCCAATCCAGCCGATCGGCACAGACCCAGGCGCAGGGTCGGGCCAGCCTTGGCGGCGCGAGGGGGGGGGCCTTTCGAGAGGGGCTGGGGCCCTATTGGAGGGCGGCGGCCTTGTGAGGAGGGCCCAGGGGCTGCTGAAAGGGCTTGTTTCGGAAGCCTCCAGGCCCTTTTTCTAAGCAACCCCCTGCCTTCCCAGAAGCCTTCCGCCCTCTCGGGAGCTCTTGTTTGGCGCCGGAGTCCGAGCCGCCCAGGCGGGGTCACGCGACACTCGGGAGAGTTGCGGTGGGGTCGCCCGGGAGGGGTCTCGAACGCGGCTCTTCCAGAAGGGCCGTTGCCGCGCCCAGACGGGGCCGACGACCGTGTTCGAATCGTCCCCTCCGCGCCACCCCCTCGCGCGCCTCCAAATCCGGGCGGGGCGCCTCCGAGGCCCTCGAGCTGGACCCCGCGGCGCCGGCGGCGACCGCGCGGGACATCCCCGCCGCGCCCGCCGAATGGCTCGAGGGCAGGTAGCTGGCAGCTCGATGGCTCTCGGGCCGTGGCGCGAGGCACCCCCGCCGCGCCCTCCAGGCGGCATCCTTCGAGAAACACATAGGTGCCGCCAGGGGGCTCCAGCGCTGATCCGAGAAATTCGCGCGGATCTCCGAATGTTTGTGTTTGTGCCATTCTTTGTCCGGCGACTCCGGCGTCGCACCTGGCGCGCTCCGCACTCCAGGGAAGGGGGTCCAGCACCGATCCACGAAATCAGCGCGGGCCTCCGAACTTCTGTGTTCATGCCGTTGCTTATTTTCCGATTCCCGGGACAGGCAGCGCTGGTGGCTCCCGCCCGCGGGGGCCGCCGCGGCCGACCGACGCGCAGGCCAGCTCATGATCGCGCGGGGGCCGCGTCGACCACTGTGGCGTGCGGTGTGAGGCCCGTCGTCTTCTGAGGCGCGGAGTGTCACGTTTTCTGCGTCCGCAGGGGGCCTCTGCACACCCACGCCGTGCCTGGCCAGGGCCATCCGGGGCCCTGGTCGGGATGGTGGATGCCCCTTCCCGGCCTCGGCCAGGAGGGTGCATGCACCATGCCAGGGACCAGGATTGCCCTGGCGAGGCATGGCGGTTGTGTAGGTGCCTTTGCGTATGGCCAGCAAGGCCAGCCATAACCGGAGTTGTTGTGTTTCTTGTCCCTCTTGGGGGCATGTAGGCGTCGCCCCCCTTTCTAGAGATCGTCGATATAATGGGCTCCCCCAAGGGAAGCGCCACAGCTTCCTCAGTTATGGCTGCCCAGCTCGTCGCCAGAGCTTTCACCGGTCACCGTGTTCTGCATGCAGAGGTATACTTTGATGTCGATCTGCCACATGGTTTCCCGTGTGGCTCCTGTGTGCACGAGCATGGTGCTCGGCGAGTGTGCTTCCCCTTTGCCCTCCTCTGCTCCCCAGGTTTCTTGCGTTTTCTTTCTCTTTATATCTCACGCACCCATCTTCGGCGCCGCGCTTGTACGAGACATGTAAAGTGGACTCTCGACATCCATTGCCGTTGTGGTATCCGCTCACGCTTCTCATCTTTCGAAGTTGTGCTGATAAGCAGCAGCACGTTGTTTATGCCGGGCGTTGTGAGAACGACACGGACGCGTGAAAGGAGCAACGGGCTTAGATGATAAATAGCAGTCAACTCCTGCGTCTCGTTGTCGAAAACGACATGAGGACGGTGCACTGAAAACATGCGCCAATTTTGAGGCTGCATTGTAGCTTTTCTGTGCGGCACAAGCCCGCAGCGTGTCGTCCGTTACACTTAGCTTTCACACGTGGGGGTCTTTCCTTGCGCCGCTCGCTTCCGCCAGCCCCCTCCGCTCACTACCTATCCAACTATCCCTCCGCCCTGTGACCCTGCGCGGTCTCGCTTTGGCTGCTGCTGCTGGCTGCCGCTCCTCCCTCCCTCCCCTCCTCCCTCCTCCCTCCCTCCCCTCCTCCTCGCTCCCCTCCTCCCTCCCTCCTCCCTCCCTCCCCTCCTCGCTGTGCGCTCCGCCGTTCCCTCCCCTGCCCTCCGAAGGCTTCCAGGGGTCACCGAGGGTCCCCTGGAGGTCTCCGGAGGTCCTGTGGAGGCCTCCAGCGGTCCCAGGAGGCCCGAGGCCCACAAAGACAGAGCACGCCCAACCATCCATACACCTTAGGCGATGCTTAAGAAAACATAAATTTTCGGCCAGAGTCTCGATTATTCTTAATGTTTCAATGTAAATCCTAAGTTCTGAATGGAAATTTTGGGTTTTTATTCAAGTTCTGAGACTATGAATTTCTTAACCCATGATTTTTTAAGCATTTCGCAGGGTGTACGCTAGATCTTCTACCCTCGACTCCCTCCTCGCCTCCTCTCACCCCTGCTGAATCCTGACAGTATCTGGCGACGGCGACGACGACGACAACCGCGGAGGCAGTGACAATCACGATGGCGACGGCGACAACGGCGACGACGGCGACGACGGCGGCGACGACGACCCCCCTTCCCGGCCATTTGTTCGGATGAGGCGGAGGAGGCGGAAGAGGAGGAGGGGGGGGAGAAGGATCATCAGCAGCAGGGGAACAATAGAGAGGGGGGAGGAGCAGTGTGAAAGGACATGGGTAGGACAAGGCGGAGGCGGTGGATGCTGATGATGCTGATGATGCTGATGGAATGATGATGATGATGCTGATGATGATGATGATGGTGATGAGGAGGAGGAGGAGGACGACAGCGACGACGATGGTGATGGTGATGATGATGCTGCTGATGATGGCGATTGTGATGGTGATTGTCATGGTTATGGCGATGATGTTGATGTCGAGGACAATGACGATGATGATGATGCTGATGATGATGACGACGATGATGGCGATGATGTTGATGATGATGATTCTGCTGATGATGATGTTGCTAAGGAGTATGAGAATGACGCTGATGTTGCTCATGCTGATGTTGTCGATGACAATGCTGATGATGCTGATGATGCTGATGATGATGTTGATGCTGATGCTGATGATGATGCTGATGATGATGATCTTGATTATGATGATGCTGCTGATGATGATGGTACTGATGATGATGATGATGATGATGCTGATGCTGATGCTGATGCTGATGCTGATGCTGATGATGATGATGATGATGATGATGATGATGATGATGATGATGATGATGGTGGTGATGATGATGATGATGATGATGATGATGATGATGATTCTTAGTATTATTGTTATTATTGTTATTATCAATATTATTATGATGATGATGAGGATGATGAGGATGATGAGGATTATGATGACGACAATGGTGCTGGTGATGGTGATGGTGATGATAATGGTGATGATAATGGATATGATAATGGTGATGATGGTCATGACGAGCAGGAGGAGGAGGAGGAGACCGCAGGAGTTCTATTAAGGAAGGAAGTCACTGTTTCCTCGCCGCCCGGGTTCCTCTCGAGTGTCGCTCGAGCCTCTGACCCCCCCCTGGGGGGCCCAGGGCGAGGGAGTTCTGCGTCCGATTCCGGTCGAGGCTTCTCGGCAGAGGGTGGTGCGTCCCCGCCATCAGCAAGAATCAAAGGGTGCTGGAGAAGAGGGGTCCTGGAGTTTGTGCTGCTCTGTTCGGACTTCCTCGGCCCTTCCCAGGCCTGTCGACCTGCACCCAGGCGGCAGCAGATCCTAAGCAGCAGAATCAGATAGTGAAGAGAGTCGTGCATGGTGCAGTGCACGCGTGAGGCCACGGGAGACAGTTCGGGAGAGCATACGGGAGACCGCACAGGAGATCACACGGGACGTGACCACGCGGGACGTTGCAGCCCAGGTGCGCGGTGTGGCATGCTGTTCCGTTGCCGCGACGCTGGTGCAGAGTGCTTTTGACGCTGTCGTCGCCCCTCACTGCTTTTCCGATTGTCGCCTGTTGTTTCCCCAGTGGTATCAGCATTGGGCCCGCGGTCCTGCCCCCCTCCTCTTGGCGAACACATCAGTATCTGTCGATTCCGGCGTTTTGTGGGATTGGCGGATCTCTGTTCATGTGCTTTTTGATTCGTATGTATTTTCTCGTTGCGTTTCCCTGAATGCCCAACAGATATGCACCCTTCCGCCGGGGCCAGTTTCGCGCCTCATTGCCAGATGTTTTGAGGATGGTTTTCTGGCCTGCGTTGTCTGGGCCCGCCCGTCTTTTCAGAGTCGCTTCACGTGAGGCGCCTTGTCACGTTTCTTGTCCCATCATATTTGTAAGACCCCCTACGCGGTGCAACGCACTTCGCCTTCGTTCTACCTCGCCGCGCCGTAGACGGCCCGCCCGCGCTGGCACCTTGAAAGCCGCAAGCCCGCATCAACGTGGCGTGTGCATTTCAGCACTGTTCCAGCGAAGCGCCTTCCCAGATATATTTTTCACCTTCCCATCAGCGGCCCCCGAGCAGCCCCCAGAGGCCCCCAAGAGGCACCCGAGACGATCCAAGGATCCACCAAGAGCCAGCACGAGGCCCCCAGGACGCTCCGAACAGGCCCCCCGCGCGGAGACCCCCGCTCTCTCCTCGGCCACGGTCCCCGGCCCCCGCGCGTCGGAGGTTGATGGACCTCCTACCCTGACGCGTCGATTCCGGCATTGGCCGTTCTCGGCTCGCGAGAGGGCGTCGCGACCGTCGTTTTTGCGGGTCCAGGGCTCCGTCGGTTTCGGTCCCAGGCCGTTTCCACTGAGGGGAGGTTCACTGAAGGGAGGTTTGTCCACCGCCGAACGCGCCCTGCCGCCCAACCCTCCCGCCCCTCTCCCCCGTCGGCGCCAGGCTTCCGGCAGGGCCGGGGCCGCCAGGGGCGCCGAGAGCTGCGGGACGCGCAGGGCGGCCAAGGCGGGCAGGGCGTCCGAGGCGGCCGCCAAGGCCGCCAGGGTGTCGGCGGCCAAGGCCGCCAAGGCGTCCAAGCTGGCCCAGGCCGCCGCCAAGGCTGCCAAGGCCGCGAGGGCGGCCAAGGTCGGCAGGGGGGGGGGGGGCGGATGCCGCGGGACAGGGCTCGCCTCTTCCTGGCGCCTCTCTCCATCTCTCTCTCGCCTCCGATGCTGCCGCTTTTCGTTCCCCTTCTCCTCGCCCTAGGCCCCCAGATGGGATCCGAGAAGATGGAGTCATAATTTCTCCACGCCGATGGCGCCGATGCATCGCCGACGTCGCCGATGCATCGGCGATGCGCCGCGATCCTCCGACCCCATCTGCTCGGACCCCATCTGGGATGCCTCTATTCTTCTTGCGCCCTTCCTTCGCCTTCTCTTTTTATCTCACGCTTACACTGGCCTGGCCTTTTACCGTCTAGGGATAGCGGGTTTTGGCGGGTGAGGGAGAGGGGGAGGGGCCTAGTAACGTCACGATGTGCGCCTGCGCCGTCTGGGAACTAGCTACCTTATTCGCTATCTGACGGCGCTGGCGCGAAGCGTGACATTACCAGAGGAGGACGTGGTTGCCATTCATCGCAAAGTCATACAACGTCAAATTCCAAGCCGTTCCTGAAACAATGTAGCGTGTGATCCCCGATCCGAATCTATGATCAGCGCCTTCTCATTTCAATAATAGGAGGCCTTATTTTGTCGAGGCGGGGGCGGGTCCAACCATTGTCCACCTTTGCCACATTTCTGTTTCATGCTTTTGCCTACTCCTTCCGAACTTCATGATCCACTATTGCCTCATTTTCTGAGCTGGTTGTTGCTTTTCATGCACCCTCCCGTCCGAGCAGCAGTGGCGCTGCGGGCCCCCAAACAGTGCTGTGAGGAGCTCGCCCGGGGTGCAGCACCCTCTGGCGGCCGCCCGAGCTCCCCTTCGGCGTCGCCCTGGCGTGCTGGCACTGCGTGTGCGCCCCCCCCCCGAGGGGGACGCGCTCGCTGGGCGCCCCCCCCGCGGAGAGCACGCCGCCGCCATCGCCAACCGCCCGGGGGCCCCGGGGGTGCTTCCCGCGCTTCGCGCCCGCCCCCCTCCACAGGGTCTTCTTGGTCGCACCGCCCAGAGGCCTTCTCCTGCGGTAGGTTTGCGTCGTGTCGACCAGCGGCGACCCCAGCGCGGGCGTTCCAGGTTGAACGCCGCTGGCGACCCAGAATCGATCGAGGTTGAACGATCGGACGTTGCGGCAGCGGCCGATCGTTCAAGGTTGAACGATCCCTGCGGTGTCAAAAACCAACGCTGGGGTCGGCACGACACGAACCTGCCGTACTCTCTTTCCGAAAAGTGTGTGTTTCAGCACTGCTCCCATACCGAGGCTGGATTGTCGGACCCATCCGCGTATTTTTCGTACTCGAGCGGTCGCTTCGCTCATTCTGCCGAAGGGGGGAGGACGAGGGGGGACGATGCTGATGATGATGCTGCTGATGATGCTGATGCTGATGCTGATGCTGATGCTGATGCTGATGATGATGATGCTGCTGATGATGATGTTGATGATGATGCTAATGATGGTGATGCTGATGGTGGTGTTGCTGCTGGTGCTGATGCTGCTGTTGTTGTTGATGGTGATGGCGAATGTGATGATGATGCTGATGATGATGCTGATGACGATGATGATGATGCTGCTGATGATGATGCTGATGATGATGATGATGATGATGATGATGATGATGATGATGAGGAGGAGGAGGAGGAGGAGGAGGAGGAGGAGGAGGAGGAGGAGGACGCATCTCAGTTTGTTTCTTGCCCTTGGGGCCAAGCGGGTCGTGTTTAATACGCTTTGGTGAAGGGGCTCCTTGGTGTCTTTCGGGAGGCGTCTCATAGCCCTCTTGGCGGCATTGTTGAGACTTCCTGAGGCCTCTTCGGCCAGTCTTGTGGGTCTCTGGGGACCTCTGGGGGGCCTCTTGGGAGCCTGCTGGTGGTCTCGGGGCCATGTTTCGAGGAAGGCTCGGCATGTCATGTCAGGTTCCCCCTTATGGAGCCCTCTTGGGAGGCGCTTGGACC